GGGGGGGGGGGGGGGGGGGGGGGGGGGGGGGGGGGGGGGGGGGGGGGGGGCACGCGTGGGGCGCTGTCACCGGCGCGGACGGGCCAGCGTACAACGGGCTGCAAGGGGAAGATATGGGGGCAACGGGAGGAGGGCACAGTGGGCCAGGTGGGGAGGTTGGGCAGCCGCAGCACTACCATCAACCAGAACAACACCAACACCAGCACCAGCACCAGCACCAGCACCAGCACCAGCACCAGTGAGAGCAACAACAGCACCAGCAACAGCACCAGCAACAGCACCAGCAGAGACCACCATACCAGCGACAACAGCAGCGGCCGCAGCAGCAGCAACAGGAGACGCCGCCGCCCCCTCCGCCACGGCGGCAGACGCAAGGGGTCATGAATCAGGAAGGCGTCGNGGGGAGAGGCTGGTCGACCCCAAGATGCCGGCGGCGGAGAAGAAGTACCGGAAGGGCGGGAGGGCGGTGGCAATCTGGACATTTATCAGGGGGGATGGTAAAGCGGTGCCGTTCGGGACAGCCAAGGATGTGCAGGTGCTGGCCCGGGAGTTCAGCATGGATGGGGAAGGAGCTGCACAGATCGCGGCCATGGCCGGGCTATAGGTNGGTAGCCACTCGGGAGGCGTCGGTGGCGGGGCGGGGGCAGGTCACCTGTGGCGCGGTGGAGCGGGTGGTGGCCGAGGCCGTGGAGCGAGAGTATCGCGACATCATCCGCACGCAGCAGTTGCAATGGCAACAGTACACGCAGTACATGGTGCAACAGAATCAGTAATATCANCGGTGCCGTTCGGGACAGCCAAGGATGTGCAGGTGCTGGCCCGGGAGTTCAGCATGGATGGGGAAGGAGCTGCACAGATCGCGGCCATGGCCGGGCTATAGGTGCAACGGTACGCCACGAAAACCTACGGGTGCGGGGGCGGGTGCGGGGGTGGGGGGGGCTGATGGACGTCGACATGGAGTTGGACCGCCGCGTGGAGGCCCGCTTTGAGTTGATCGGGTACCTGGCGTCATACGTCGTAGACCCCGCCGACCGCGGAGCCCTGTTTAGGTCTTCTGAGCTCACGACGCACCTGGCCGGCATGGCATCAACAGTTTGGCGCTACTTCGCTGCGAATGGGGTCTTGACTCGGGGGTGGCGGTTCCGCGAGGCATTCATGCAGGCCTTCAACACCGATCTCGAGGTGTGAACCGCTGCGGTAACCGCGAGGGCGCCGGCGGAGCAGGCGAAGGCCGAGGGTGGGGGGATACCGGGGGGGATGTAGTTGGGTGAAGCTACGCTGCCGCAGTTCACCCAGACACACCTTCTCATGCCNGTGGGGAGAGCGGTGGGGGGGGGGACACGTACCGCGGGACGGGCAATGGTGGCGGCGGCGGGGGGGAGCGGCAGGGGCAGTGGTGGGAGTTGGGGTGGAGGCGGAAGCGGCGGCGGGGGATACGGAGGAGCATAGTGCGTGGCGGGCGGAGCCGGGAAGGAACGGGGAGGGGAGGGGAGGCACGTCGCATCCCACAATGGCGGAGCCGGAGTTCGCGAAATTCAAGGAAGAGAACGTCTGCACCCATGAATATCGGAAGGGCTATGCGTGCCGGTACCGGCACACCGGCGGCGAACACAACGGCGAAGGCATCATCACCAGGCTCGGCGGTGCCAAGAAGAGGGGGGGGGGCAGACGCCGAAGGGGAGATCGCCGCGAAGAAATGAGAGCGCGGGCTCCGCAAGCAGGCGGGGCCAACGGGGGCGGTAGAGGTTACGGGATGGGGCGCGCCCGCGAGCGGGGAGTGGGTCATGGGCTCGGAGACGGGGCCGGTGCCGGGGTCGGTGGCGTCCGGAGCAGCAGGTACAGCACCGGGTGACTTGACCGAGTGAAGGGCAAGGTGGCGAGCAGCGCTATCGAGGCTCGGAAAAATGAAACCGGATCACCCAACCAATTGAAGTTGATGACAGTGTTGGCCGGTATGGCGTGGGCCGTGTTGTCTGAGAGTTTGGCCCCCGTACCCGCCCCGTGCCCTTTCCCCCCCCATGCACAAACTGAACCAGCGAGTAAACCCCTTTTGAGTGCCCCCTCCCCGAGGGAAGAGATGATAGATGAGCGGAGGTGGTTCGGACATGTCGTGCGTAGTCCGGGTGGACGTGTATTGGCGCCTCAAATGGATGCGAAGCGGATTGCCCGAACTTTTGGGAGCTTTAAACCAGTGGACGTGCTGGTAAAAATTGCACAAGTGGGGGTACCCATCGTAGTAGGACCAGGGGGAGGCGTGGAGCATGAGTTCGCATACGGGAATCATCCGAGCGCGCAAAAGTGGCACGGGCCGATTTGGCAGAAGGTGGTAGAGGATGTGGAAGTCGGCAGGGCGGTGCTGTTCAGGAGAGAAGATGCTGAAAAATTCCGGGTTTGCGCGTGTCTCCGGTCGGGGTGGTGGAAGAGAAAGAGAAAGCTTGGGTGATACACGATCTGACTATACCAGTAGCGGAAGCAACGGGGGGGGAAGGGCGGCCGGTGAATGCGACCACTTTTGTGAAGGAATTCCGGCCTGCGGAATGGCGACTTGAGGGAAGGCGGTGTTAGAACGGTTCCTGGGGAGAGCTAGGTATCCAAGAAGGACGATTTTGTTGCAAAAATGGACGCAAAGAGCGCGTTTCGCCAAATTCCAATAGACCCAGCATGGGCGTTGGCTTTCGAATATGTGGTAGGGGATTTCCTAGTAGTAGACCTTCGGTTGCAGTTCGGATGGCGGATCAGTCCTGGGTGGTGGGGGCTGGTGGCGTCGGCGATAGAACACGTACACCGACAGACGACGAGAGACACAGTACGGTTAACGCCCTCTGGGATACGTGCAGCGGCACACGTCAAGATAGCTTCGCGAACGGGGAAAGGGATAGTGCCGTGCAAGGTGCAGCCGGCGGTAGGAGGGGGGAAGAATGATCCAGCGTTTGTGCGGTTTTTCGTGGATGATGCAACTAGTGGAAGTGCCGTGGGAAGACAAGGGGGAGCGGTGTTTGTAGTTGACGAAGGGGCTTGCGTCCACACACCATATGTTATTAGGGGAGAAGGATGAGTAGGAAGAGCCAGTACCGCCCGCAAAGAAGGTGACAGACTGGAAAACGGAACATGTCGTGTTCGGTTGCTTGGTGGATACCTAGGCAGGGACGATTTCATTACCGGAACAGAAAGTGCAGGATTAAAGAGAGAGGTTAGCGGAGTGGCCCGCGCACAGGAAGCAGGCTACCGTGCGCGAAGTATTGGTGTTGGCAGGTAAGCTGCACCACGCGGCTTTCGTTGTCCGGCCCGGCCGTTATTTCGTACACAGGCTTCTGCAGCTTGCGGGGCTGCATCCAAATGGGGTGGAACGGGCCGGAGGGGGGGACGCGTGGGGCAGACGCGGGGAGAAGGCGTAAGCACGCAAGGTAGTAAAACTGACATGGGAGTTTATGACAGAGGTGGGGAGGTGGCGGTGGTAACCAGGGGAAGGGGCGGGGGAGGTGGGCAGTAAGACAACGGCGGCGTCGTTCAGCTTTGCCAAGCAAGTTCCTTGGAGGAGCTGGTTCTCGGATGCGTCGACGAGAGCGTTGGGGGGGGTTTGCATGGAAACGAGGGTGTTCTGGAGGTACGAGTTGCCGATGGAGGTACAAGGAAGGACGGTATGGGCGAGGCAGAAGGGAGAAGGGGACTTATGTGCATAAACGTGCTAGCAGTGATGGCGATGGTGATGACGGCGTATATGATGGTAATTTCGTGGGGGGAAAGACCGGAGCGGGAAGGAGAGGCGATGATGATGAGGGCGGACAACGAGAGCGCCGCGTCGTGGGACGATTGGGGGGTGGTGTTTTCAGGCGAGGCATGTACCGGGCGTGGAGAATAGGCTAGCAGATGGCATAACGAGATGGAAGGAAGAGGAGATCGCTGAAACTTGCAATTTGAGTCGCCCGGAATACGTTGGCAGGTGCAGGAGCTGAAGGTCGAGGAGCAGCGGCAAAATGCAGAGATTTTGCGCGAAGCTACGCACGAGGAAGAGTTGCAGCGTCGACTAGAAAAACTTACACGGGGGCTTGGAACATGTGGATAAAGTAGAGGGAACGAGTGCCGAAGAGCCTATGGATCGCGAACGGGTCGGAGGAAGGGGAAATAGTGGAGGAGCTGGTGGAATACATGGCTTACTGTCGTGCGTTCCTAGGAAATAGGGGTTCGACGATAATGGGGAAGCTCGTAGCGGTAATTTTTTCATCAACAGTTTCAGAACATGTCTTTACCGTTGAGTATGCCGTACATCAAAGGGGTAGCGCAAGGTATTGAGAGAGGGCACGTGGAGAGAGGTACACAAGCAAGAGTGAGGAGGCCTCTGACATGGGGAATGCTGAGTGCAATGCATCAGCGTGTTGGCGGTGAGGGTGCACGGGGAAGAGTGTTATGGATCGGGTTGGCCTTGACATATCTGCTGGTGTTGAGGGCGTCAGAGTTGTTTGCGGAAGAGGGTGGAAGAATCCACGACGTGTACTGCCTGTGCAGGGGGGACGTGGCATTCTTCGAGGGCGAGAAGCAGGTGGAAGGATCGGAGAGGTTAAGGGCAGATTAGATAGAAGTGCACATGAGAGGCTCGAAGGGAGACCAAGGGAGGAAAGGAGCGGTAATGGTCAGGGAGAGGGGGAGGGCGAATGGAGCGGTGGAATTGATGCTGGAACTATTCGGGATGTATGGAAGTAAGGATTGAGTGCAACGGCACCATTGATGGCACACAGAAGGAAAGGGAAATGGGAGGTATGGCGGAGAGGTAAGGCAACAGAACAAATGAGAAGGGGGTAAGAGCGGTGCCAAAGATGTGGTCGAAGAAAGGAAAAGGGGCAGGCAGGGGCGAAGCAAACCTCGGAAGCGTTTACGTTACATTCGGGAAGGAAAGTTGGGGCGACGAGGTTGGCCGCGAAAGGGGTAGCGGAGGCCGTGATAAAGAAGGAAGGGAGGTGGTCGTCGAACGCATTTATGGCATACGTGAGGGCGAATATGCGAGACCGAGCATGGGTGTCGGCGGTGTTGGAAGAAGGGGAAGGGGTATTGAGAGACAACGGGGGAAAGCGACGGAATGGGGAAGAAAACGTGACGAGGGATCCAGAAGCAAGAAGAACAAGACTTCGTGATGGGAAAGTTTGTGTCCAAGCTGGGCGACCAGCGGAATGTGGTCAGCCTGGTTCTTATCACTCAAGGAAGCGTTTGGATTCCCTAGTAGGCTCAAGGGCCGGGGGGGAGGGGGAAAGTTCCACCTCCAAGACCCGGCCTTTGCGCGGTGACAAAAAAGTAATTATAGCATCTTTCGGGATGTGAGAGACAAAAAGTGGAAGGTTGTGTTGTACAACCTGGTGTAGGCAGGTATGTGTAACGAAAGGAAAAAGAAAAGGGAAAGAGATTCACCGTGCTCACAACAAAAGAAACATCTGAACGAAAAGAGCAAGGCAACAAGCAAACAAGAGGAGGAGTAGAAGAGAGACGGAGGAGGAAGAAGAAGGAAGCGAGTGTACGGAGGAGACGAGACCGACGGAGAACGAGAGCAAGAGCATCGCCAGTTCGTTCCATAGTTGTTTTGAGCCGAGGGAAGCGTGCCTCGGGCGAAAGCTAACATGGGAAGCGTGTGCTAGGCTTAAGCAGGGCATGGGGAGGCACATGATGGTAAACAAGTAAGGTCAAGGTAAGCGTGTATCAGGCCTAAGAACAGGACAGGGAATGAGCGTTAGGCCGAGGCAAGCGTGCTCGGGCAAAAACAAAGGCTTGAGCTGAGCATGGAAAGGTATAGAGATTTCTGTCCAACCTGGGCGATCAGCGGAATGTGGTTAGCCTGGTTCTAATCTCTTAAGGAAGCGTTTGGATTCCTTAGTAGGCTGAAGGGCCGGGGCGAAGGGTGGGAGTTCCACCTCTAACACCCGTGTAAGATATACTCGCAGCAGTCTCTAGACGTGAGGATCCTCGGGGATACGTGTTG